CCACCACGCCCGACCCCACAATAGCCATTTTTCTTACCTGGGGCAGGTTAAGACTGAAATGTCATAAAACAGACACTGCTTTTTCAAAAAGAATTTCTAGTCTTTAAACCAGATTTTCTGAAACAGTCTTCTGGTACATTAGTAATTTGCTTTCAATGCACTTTACAGAATCCATGTCCATAGTATGTTGTAGAGAAGTGTGTGTATGTTAGTGTTTCCTTTATTTCTTATTCCAGATTTTTTTAATACAAAAGCTTTCATGCCCTTTATGCTTCATAACCCTTACTTCTTTGGGTTAACATGGACTTCCTTCCTTTCCCCTGAATCTTAACGCTTTCACTTATTAATGGCAGCAAGGTTTTTGAGTCAGTGACATGCCAGACACTATGTTTGTGCTCTCTTCAGTAAGCTGTCTTTCTTTTCCCAGCTCTTCCACCTCCCCATCTTCAGTGCTGGTAAGTTGTGGGATCTTTCCACAAAAATGTGGGTGGGGGCTTCTTGACTTGGATGTACCAAGTTTTTCCAAAAGACTCAAGGACCCCAGCATTAACTGTTTCAAACATCATTTCAGAAATGTAGGCTAAGCATTGACAGTCATTTGTGTAGCCTTTGGTATCTCATCTTACTATCCTTAAAATGATATTTGTGATTTGAGTTTCCCAGTGGAAATCAATATGGAATGTAGATTTTTTTTTTTTTTTGAGACAGATTCTTGTCCTGTTGGGCAGGCTGGAGTGCAATGACACAATCTCGGCTCACTGCAACCTCTGCCTCCCAGGTTGAAGCGATTCTCCTGCCTCAGCCTCCTGAATAGCTGGGATTACAGGCTTGTGCCACCACGCCTGGCTAATTTTTTGTATCTTTAGTAGGGACGGTGTTTCACCATGTTGGTCAGGCTTGACTTGAACTCCTGACCTCGTGAGCCACTGTGCCCAGCTGGAATGTGGATTTTTTATACACCAAAATACTATCTTTTAGTATTAATAACTTTTTACTTCTTTTTGGAAAGTCCCTTGTTTAGATAAATGTCTTTAGTAGAATAACTACCAGATTGTTTTCAGCTATCCAGTTTGGGAAATTGGTCATTTCCAATAATACCTTCATTTATTGTATTAACTTTTGCTGGCCATCTTTTAAAAATAGCGACTTTCCGTAATCCCAGCACTTTGGGAGGCCAAGGTGGGTGGATTGCTTGAGGTCAGGAGTTCAAAATCAGCCTGGCCAACATGGTGAAACCCCATCTCTTTTTTAAAAAAAAAAAAAAAACATAGCAACTTTCTGGCCGGGTGTGGTGGCTCACGCCTGTAATAACAGCACTTTGGGAGACTGAGGCGGGTGGATCACAACGTCAAGAGATTGAGACCATTCTGGTCAACATGGTGAAACCCTGTCTCTACTAAAAATACAAAAATTAGCTGGGCATGGTGGCACGCACCTGTAGTCCCAGTAGGAGGCTGAGGCAGGAAGAGGTTGCGGTGAGCCGAGATCGTGCCATTGCACTCTAGCGTGGGTAACAAGAACGAAACTCCGTTAAAAAAAAAAAAAAAAAAAAAGGGCGACTTTCCTTCTTTGGCATATGCTAAAGATATTTATCTTTTTTCTGATGTGTTGTGCCATACTCCTATTTTGATCTTTAGTATATTTAGTGGGGCTAATAGATGATAGGGAAACTAAGGTAATTCGGAGACTAGATCAAGAAAATGCTGTCCCTCTGAAATTTGAAGCTAGTAAGGATAAATATTAATATAAAGCCCTTGGCAGAAGGAACCTTTCCTAAAAATGAGTAGATTTCTAGTTCTAGTAAGAGTTGGGTCTTTGGATTCTTATGTAACGCAACTGATGAGACTGATAATTAAAAGTAAAAAGGTATTCCAGCTGATATATTGATGTGTAACGTAGATGACTGCATGAACAAGAGTCAAAAGCCTGAGAGTGTTTCCTTGCTTTGGAAGTGCTAAGGCATCTAGAGGTACCCTTATAAAGTTACTAATACACTAAAATTAGAATGCTCTCCTAAAGGTCTTCTTTAAACCATCCCACCCACATTCTGTACTGTGCTTTCTCTCTTGGTCATATTTTTCTCTCCCCTGTCTTATGGTCAGCTGTTAATTCTGGCTGCTAACAAACTGTCTCAAGATACGAGTTTTTCTTCCTCCTTCTAGTTAATTTTTCTACTTTGAATCTATTAAATGTGTAGTGGATCTTTTTTAGAATTGTGTCTACAGTAAGAGTAAATTGGCTCTGCAAAAGCTATTTTTAAGTATTAGGATCTGAGGCTTTAACACATGGGATTGGTAACATCTGTTTTTTCTGTTGAATTGTTTGTATTTTTCTTATTCTATATCGTTTTATGAATAGCTAAGATTCCCAAAGAATTGACTTCTGGAGAGATAAAAAATCTTAATTGTATCTCTGTTTATGAACTGTGTGTTTTATGTGCCCTCTGCTATTAAATACATGGTAAGTGAACAGCACGATCTTCATGTTGAAGTTATAATTTACCTTTTCCAAAAGGACAGTTGATTGTTAAACAGGACTTTAGAGTACCAACTTACTTGGTCTGCATATTTTTAATAAGAGGAAGAACAAAACCCAGAAATTGACAGATTTAATTTACACATTAAAGTGTGGACTATAAAATTCGCGCTTTGAGACAATGGAAAGTAAGGATAAGATTCTGCATCCTGGAGACTGTTTCTGTGAACTGCAAATGCACATTTCATGCTTTGTAAGTGGGCTGAAGGCCAAGATGCAATGTCACAATGTGCGTCTGTCCAGAAATACAGCTTACTCTGTGTTATTTTGCTTATTATAACTACTGTGTTGTTTTAGTCTCTGTGTGCGGTTATACATGTCCAAGTGTCCTATATCTTTTGTTGTTCTTTTACTCAGCTTCTTTATGATAGAATTGCTTTAGTTCTTTGACGATATTTTAAAGAGTTTTGTTCTAAAATAACTGTGTGATGATTTTAGTTTATAAAAGCTTCAATTTGATTTCATTCATGAAAAAGAAGAACAAGTCTACTTTAACATTGTGGTTAAGTTTGAAAATTATTTCAGGCCAGTGATAGTCTTCTGTGAGTAACAGTATTTTGTATACAAGAAATTTGCCTCCAAAATATCACATTTTAAGGTCATAATATTCTTGGAAAGTGGAAGAGAGCGTGCACATCAAAGAAAGCATTTTTATTACAGTGGATTACGCAATACTTTGGCCAGCCTCCTTAGCTTCATCTGTTTAAGGGTTCATTTTCGCTTGTTTGGCACAGGTCCCAGTAGAGGCCTTCAGAATTGTGGTTAGCAACATGAATGAATTACAAACTTTAGACTAGCTCTTCAGTTAGTAGAGCTGGCTTGCTGCCAAAAAGACAGTGCCTTATATGGGGTCAGGGCAGAGCTGCAATTCGTTGAGTCCTGCATTGTATAGAAAACATACTTGGGATGCCTGTTTGCTTTCTTTTAAAATAAAAACAAAACAAAACAGAAAAAGCAGCAGGCTTCCAAGTCTATCAAAATAGGAAGTAACAAAATAGTGTGCAGGTTTTACTAATGACAGAGTTAAGCAATGGAAATACCTCTGTGTAGTTAACATACTAGAAAAAAGTTGGACTTTTGGCCTCCTTAGCCAGCTTGTGATATGAGAGATTGAAGCATTTTGTTAGACATCTGTTATCTACCTGCTTTTATGTTATGGATGGTTTAATAAGATTAATTATTTGCATGTCCACATGGCTACACTGTGCCACTGGGTTTTGGTATCAGCTATATACTTTGAAAATTAAAAAAAGGAATAGTTAACTTTGAATGTGCTGATCTTTCTTTTTTAGAAACTTGTGGTTATGGCCAGGTGCTGTGGCTCATGCCTCTAATCCCAGCCCTTTGGGAGGCCAAGGTGGGCAGATCACCTGAGGCCAGGGGTTCGAGACCATCCTGGCCAACCTGGTGAAACCCTGTCTCTACTAAAAATACAAAAAAATTAGCTGGGCCTGGTGGTGGGCACCTGTAATCCCAGATACCTGGGAGGCTGAGGCAGGAGAATCACTTGAATCCGAGGGGCAGAGGTTGCAGTGAGCCGAGATTGCGCCATTGCACTCCAGCCTGGGCGAGAGTGAAACTCCATCTCAAAAATAATACTAATAATTTGTAGTTATGTAACTTAAAAAAAAATTGACACGTTGGAATGATAAAACAAGTAAGAGTGAAATTTGCTTTTCAGAAGGTCACAAATTTTGCTTATATTCTTAAGCTGGAGAATATAATTACTAGATCTATTAGGAGGGAAAACTTTAATATATTTTCAAATATAATTCATTTATCATTGTACTATTTTCCATTTAGGCAAATACCCTATCTGGATCTTCTCTCAGTCAGGCACCGTCTCATATGTATGGCAATAGATTAAATCCAAATTCATCAATGGCAGCTCTTATAGCTCAGTCTGAAAACAATCAAACAGGTAAGTTTTCAAGAATTACTAAACTCTGCCGGGCATGGTGGCTCACGCCTGTAATCCAATCACTTTGGAGGCCAACGTGGGCAAATCACCTGAGGTCGGGAGTTCAAGTCCAGCCTGACCAACATGGTGAAACCCAGTCTTAAAAAATACAATACAATACAATACAATACAATACAATACAATACAATAAATAAATAAATAAATAAAATTGCTGAACTCTAAAACTCTACTCTGACCTACTCTTAAGTTTTTCCCCCTTTTGGTTCATTTTATTTGAAAGCAGGTAGGAATATGGTTAATTGAGGATTGTACTTAAAAAAAGATTCACAGTTGGAAAATGTTAACTGTTTCAGGTGATGGATATAAGCTTCACTTTTGAAATTCCACATTACATTCATATATCATAACATCAGTTTGTACTCCAGATTTATATAATTACAAATTGTCTATTTACAATAAAAAAAAGAATCACAGTTGGAAGTAAATAGTATGCTTTGCTGCAAAATAGTGATGTGCTTGTTTTTTTGTTTTGTTTTTTAACCGTCTGAAATGGAAATGTTCAGCAGAGCCATCAGCAGGCAGGAATGCAGCAGTGTCTCCTGTGACTTTTGTGATTGATGTGTTCAGTTTTCAGTTCTATGCAATGAAAGTAACATAACACTGGGCTTTTCTGTGAATAGCCTAAACCTTTATTTGCATAATTCATGAAATTGTATCACACAAACTTGGTTAAAAAAATCCTGTTAGAGAATCTCTGCAGTGTTTAGTAATCCTGTGAACGTTCACCAGTTGACGTTTTGTTGCATTTGTCTCTTGTACTGTCTTAATGAGCCACTTGGATTTGCTTTGTTTCATTCCATCCTTAAGGATTGGTTGACATGTCCAAGTAGTCATGCCTGTTTGGGGGAAGGGAATGGATTTAGCAGTTCACCAAGAATGAATCCCCTCTGTCTTTTCCCTTTAGGGGTCAGAGGTTACCTAACTCAGAATAAGGGAAGGACAACCTTGAAAGAGGCCAGATAGGGTGATTTTTATAAGGAATTAACTGCTGGGGAAATATGAGTTACTTTTCAAGCAGAGATGTTTGATATTACCTAAGGAATATTTTGAAAAGTTAATTTTTTTTCTTTTAAATTTGGTATTCTGGATTCCTACTTGTTTTTGTTAATTTGGAAATTTAGTGTTATACATAATTTTATTCTTGGAGTAAGGGTCTATCTGATACCACAATGTTAGTCTTGGTATGCAGGTCTGTGTTAATGTGTTTTATGGCTTGTCTTGGGATGCAAAGTGTTAAAAAATACAAAGCATACGGATTTGCTGTGATAAGCATACAGATTAGCTGTCCACAGCTGTGATTCATTACTTTAACCGTAGAAATTAAAAGTGGCTGAGGGGAGGGTACAGCAAATGCAAACCACGCTTCTGTGCTGTAAAATAGAAAGGAATGAAAGAACAGAACATAATCCATGGCCTTCTACACCCACAAAAACGTGTAGGGACAGCGCCTTACATGCCACAGTTCAGCAATTCTAAACTAGCAACATGCTAGATCTTCTACTTTCATAGGAACTGCAAAGATAGTGGTAAAGGTTTAATGTATGTTTTAGGAAAAATCAGGGCCAGAGTTTAAAACCTTTTATCTAGTGGGAGTCACTTTATCAGCTCTGAAATATTTACACTACAGATCAAGATCTTGGAGACAATAGCCGCAACCTAGTTGGCAGAGGAAGCTCACCCAGAGGAAGTCTCTCGCCACGGTAAGCGCTATTTACACTGCAAAGTATAGGCAAAGGAAATGTTTGAGATTTGGAAACTTATATCAGTAGAGTGTACATTTGTGAGGCTATAAAAGCATTCTACAGAGAATGTCTGTAGAATGTATGTCTAGACAGTCAAGAAAAATGATTCTGAATTAATTTCAATATTAATTTAAACATCATTAGATTTCAAATCAGTTTGAACTCTTATATTTACTACTTGTATATTGATTTGAGTAATTCTTTTTGATTCTTTAAAATAGTCTTAAGATCTCTTAAAGTTATAGACCCAAGACTCTCAACTTTGGGTTCCAGTTTTAGCTCTGCTATAGGGACAGCACTAATTCCTTAGTCTCTACTTCCTAATTCAGTAAAGTCCTGTGGTAGATCACTAAAATCCTACTAGTTCTTAAATTGTTTGAACCAGTTATCACAAATGTATTACAAGTTTTTTGAAATTATTTTATGACAGTATTCAGGTACCATTTATTAAAATAATTTATTAATATATTTGGGGTTACTGAACTGCATATTCCTTCCATTTTAAATGGGGAGAATGTGGTATGAGATACTGTGTCTGTTTGTAGGGGAGAATGGACCTTTAGTGATGGCTGTCTCTTTATTTTATTTCACTTCTGTGCCTTCTCTTTGTTTTCTCTATGTTCTTTAATTTAAGAACCCTCCCTCAACATGGTGTTAGAGTGAGTAAGAATGGAGAGTAAGAGAAAAGCCAGTTCTGGGGTCTTTCTTCCAAGTATGGGAGAAATGTGAATAAAAATGAAAATTTTGGTTAAGCATGGTAGTTTATGCCTATAATCCCAGCACTTTTTTTTTTTTTTTTTTTTTTTAAGAGACGGGGTTTCACCACGTTGGCCAGGATGGTCTCGATCTCTTGAACTCGTGATCCACCCACCTCAGCCTCCCAGAGTGCTGGGATTACAGGTATTAGCCACCATGCCCGGCCCCAATCCCAGCACTTTGAGAGGGTAAGTTGGGAGGATTGCTTGAGGCCAGGAGTTCAAGACCAGCCTGGGGAACATGGCAAGACTCCATGTCTACAAAAAAAATTTTTTTTTTTTTTCAAAATGAACTTTTCATGTGATGACAGATCATAAGTTATAGTGTTGCTGATATATCTGGGGAATGTCTGTTAAGGAACATCTTTATCATAGAGATTAGTTCAGTAACCAGTAATTGTCTAATTTATAATTTTCTAATGGTACATCTAGTGGTACCTTTTTTCCTATATAATTCCTGGGTGAACTAAAATCAGTATTGTTATCCCTGATTGAACTCTACAAAAAATCAGATATCCATTCTTTGGAAACATGGAATTGGAAAAACACAGTGATAAAAGTGTCTGACTACTGTGATTTTTTTTTTTTTTTTTTTTTTTTTTTTTTGTGAGACGGAGTTTCACTCGTTACCCAGGCTGGAGTGCAATGGCGCGATCTCGGCTCACCGCAACCTCTGCCTCCTGGGTTCAGGCAATTCTCCTGCCTCAGCCTCCTGAGTAGCTGGGATTACAGGCGCGCGCCACCATGCCCAGCTAATTTTTTGTATTTTTAGTAGAGACGGGGTTTCACCATGTTGACCAGGATGGTCTCGATCTCTTGACCTTGTGATCCACCCGCCTCGGCCTCCCAAAGTGCTGGGATTACAGGCTTGAGCCACCGCGCCCGGCCTTACTGTGATTTTTATATTGTGATTTCTATGTTGTTTTATTTTTCTTTTCAAAGAAGAAAGCTAATGGATGTTTGCTTAGTGTTTAGTGGAAGAAACATTTTTCCGTCTCCCTTTTAAACTTAAAATATCATACAGGCTACCCAGAAATTATTAAAAATCTTAGTGCTGTTTTGCTTAATATAGTTTTACCTTTTCATTAAATGGGACTTAACAAATGATATTAAATTATTTTTAGCATGTATTTCCAACTTTGTATTACTCTTTAGAAATCAGCCTGTAATGTAACAGCCCAAATTAATCCTGGCATAATGTACTATTTGTAGAGGGATGGCCAACTGTTTTTAGCCCATCATGTTTACATATGAAATAAAAAGCCCCATTTGTTTAACATCTTACAAAAATTTTGTAGAGAAGCATATTAAAGCAGTGTCAAGAACACTAGTGGGTTGTTAGGAGACCTGAAGTGTGTAGCCCAGCTCTGTCCCACCTCACCAGCAGTGTGTCTTTAGACAAATAAAACTGTCCTGTTTCCTCATCTGAAAAGGGAGCCATTAAACCAGGCTTTGACTTCTCACTAGTTTGCTGTGGAGATCATATGAGATACATACAAACTCTTTGGAAATTCTAAAGCTCTTTACTAATGTATTACTTTAGAATGGTGGCTGGAGACCAGAAATGGCCACAGTTACTAATTTAAAACAAAAAAATTGAGAGAATATTACATGGTCATCTTAATACAAGTACTATTTGTTTTAGAAGGGTTGATTCAGTGATTATCATTTGAAGTACAGATCTAAGACATTTTAGAAATAGTCATGTGAATGGATCAAATAAAAATTGCTTTGGGGGCTGGACATGCCTGTATTCCCAGCAGTTCAGGAGGCCTTGGCAGGAGGATCACTTTAGCCCAGGAGTTTGAGATTAAGCTGGGAAATATGATGAAACTCCGTCTCCTCCCACTAACCTTCCTTCCGCCAGTCCCCCCGGAGAAAAAAAAAGATGGGTGTGGTAGCTCCTGTGGTCCCAGCTGCTCAGGAGGCTGAGGTAGGAGGATCACTTGAACCCAGGACCCAGAAGGTCAAGACTGTGGTGAGCCATCATCACACCATAGCACTCTAGCATGGCTGATGAAGTGAGACCCTGTCTCCAGAAATGAAAAAAAAAAAGAAAAATTGCTTTGGTCTATTTTTTCTTGTGAAAATACTTGAAAATGAAGATTTTTTAATTTATAACAAAAGGCTGCTTCAAGATTGTTAAAAATTTATCAGTGATATTTGAGATTTTAGTTGGTTAATTCAAATACCTTTCACAGTATTGTAATTGTTCAGGGTTATTGTGATAGCAAATATATCAAGGCAGAGAGGTGGAACCCTTTTCTGTTCTGGAAAATTATTTTTAAGTCTAATTCTGTCTTTCCGCCTTTTGTCTTGTAATGCCATAACCAAGTTATTTTACAGCCTATTTTAGAGATTGTTTGTGGCATGTTTGTATTTTCTAGTGGTTTTTAATTATCTATGATGGCTAGCTATTCCCTTGATTCTATAATTTTGGGAGGAAGAATGATAATTACTCAATTTTAGGGTAGATTATGGTTTTCTAAATCCAGGAACCTGATACTTCTGGCATAGGCAGCCTGGTGTTATAAAACTCTCATACAGGAGAAAAGGGATCAGCTTAAGGTAAGAAACTGCACTCTCTTAAAAGCATTCCCCTTCTTTTTAACTTGAGAATTAATGTTTTCAACAGATCCCCTGTAAGCAGCTTACAGATTCGCTATGATCAACCAGGCAACAGCAGTTTGGAAAATCTGCCTCCAGTAGCAGCCAGCATAGAACAGCTTTTGGAGAGGCAGTGGAGTGAAGGACAGCAATTTTTATTAGAACAGGGTACTCCTAGTGACAGTAAGTATTCATTTTCTTGTATGTAAATCAAGATGGATAAGCAGATGGACAGATAGGCAGATGGATGCAGAAGTCGCTTTTCATCCTATTAGAAGAGATTCTATAGTGTTACTGCTTGGATTTGAATCCCGACTTTACCTGTTAATAATAGTATGATCTTGGGCATGTTTTTAAAAGTTCCTTAGTCTCCCGTTTTTACAAGTGGGTGTAATAGTGCGCCCATGTCAGAGGGTTATTGTGAGGATTAAATGACATGAAAAAGGCCAGGTGTGGTGGCTCAGGCCTGTAATCCCAGTACTTTGGGGGGCTGAGGCATGCAGATCACAAGGTCAGGAGATCAAGACCATCCCAGCCAACATGGTGAAACGTTGTCTCTACTAAAAATACAAAAACAAAATTAGCTGGGGGCATGGTGGTACATGCCTGTAATCACAGCTACTCAGGAGGCTGAGGCCAGAGAATCGCTTAAACCGGGGAGTCGGAGTTTGCAGTGAGCTGAGATTGCGCCACTGCACTCCAGCCTGGCGACAGATTGAGACCCTGCCCGACTTATAGACAGCACTATCTCGGTGCTTACCATGGTTATACATGTTGGTACTTTGTGTCTCCACTGTACTTTTTTCTTATCAGTCTACTAAAGTATGTGAGCACTCTCTTCTCTTAGGCTAATTGAAGAAAACTTGCTCACCTCTGGAGAATTTATTTTATAGTCAGGTATGGCCAGCTGGCTTCTTCATTTTATAATTTGGAAGAGTAATAGTAATTACTAAAATAAATCTATAATTGGCATATATTATGCTCACCTCGGAATATAGGGCATGTATTGTATATCGATATTTCAGTATACCGTTTTAAGTATTAGGGCTGTGGGTGAAAAATACAGAGTTAAAATAGGTGGTGGTTAGCTGGAGATGTGGCCTTGTTTTATTTTTAGGGAAAAACACGTGGTTTTCATCATTTTGGAGAATAAACTTCTGCTACTTCGTTTTATTGAAATATTTTGCTTATTGTTGGTTAGCTGAATGCCATAAATTGGTATGTATTTTATGAATGGTACCCTCACAAAAAATGCTAATTGTGAGGAAATTCATGCCGGGCTAATCCTTTAAACAGGATAGCTGGAGGATAGGTTTAGCTTAGTCTTATTGCATCTCATTTGGGCCCACTAAGGTTTCTTTGTGGGATCTTGGAGGGGAGGGATAAAAGCTAAATCCTTGGGAAATGGCCAGATGTGTCTGTACCAGAGGAGTTGTGTCTTCTGAAGGCCCTGAGGTCATGTTAAACAAATACAACTTTTTAGTACGTAGGCTACAGTGACGGACACTTCAAAAATCCTCACAGCAACGCTCTGTGTTGTTGGTTGGGGGGTCCAAGTTGTGGAAGGAATTGAAATACCTGAGGTGATGGGGCCAGACTGAAAGCCAGCCTGTTTACAGGGGATGTGCCTTTCTCCAGGACTGGGGAGGTGGCTGGGCACACACACACAGCGCTCCCTGCTGGGTGACCTGCAGAGCAACATGCTGAGCAGCTGGGATTATGGGCCTCCTGCCAGGCATCTGATGGCAGAGCTTTCTTTAAACGGAGCAACACAAAAACATGTGCTCATTATTTTGGTAAAGGGTATTGGTACGATCCTTAACCATTCTATATTACTTTAATGTAAAATAGTGGTAGGCACACCAATTTTTAATGGGCTCTTATTTTTGATGAAAATAAAAATGTCAACACTTTTCATTGAGAATGGAAGATTACCTGAAGCTGGTGTTTATTATTTGGTATGTGGCAATAAAGTTTCCAGAAGGTACATCCAGGAGCACTTTCCCTGGATGTACAAAATACAAACATAGATAGGAATTTTATATCCACATACAAATTTAGGAACAAAATTTTATCATTTAGAAATACTTTACAGAATTTCTGCTGTTCTATTTTAACTTATTTCTAAGGTTACTGGCAATGTGTAAAATACTTAGTCTTGTGTATGTACTTGTCATTATTAAAAACTATCCAAATGTGTGCTAGTTTTAGGAATGCTGAAGTCATTACACCAACTTCAAGTTGAAAACCGAAGATTAGAGGAACAGATTAAAAACTTGACTGCCAAAAAGGAACGGCTCCAGTTATTGAATGCACAGCTTTCAGTGCCTTTTCCAGCAATAACAGCAAATCCTAGTCCGTCTCATCAAATACACACATTTTCAGCACAGACTGGTAAGTGTGAAAATAATTTATATCTAAGGAAAATAGGCTTTTAATGTTATTTGCATTGTAAGTGAGTAATAATTGGTCACCAGTTATATGAAGATGTAGAAAAGGAAGGATAGGTTGTTTTTGAAGGGCATAAAGAATCCTGTTAAGTGATCAACTTGAATTAACTCTAACTTCGTTAGTCTATAATGTAATGGTAAAATTTACTTAAATGTCTAATGATTTCATTATCGATTTACAGCGAGGTATTCAATAGAAATAATAGATTTTTTTCCTATTTAAATCAGTCTTAGGAATAGCAAGACTTGATATTTAAGTGGTTTTGATACAGGCTTCAGCATAAGCTTTAAAATAAGCCTTTAATCTTACACATAATGTAATTTAATAGGGTAAATAGGTTTCTTTTTGTCTTTTATTATTCTAGCTCCTACTACTGATTCCTTGAACAGCAGTAAGAGCCCTCATATAGGAAACAGCTTTTTACCTGATAATTCTCTTCCTGTATTAAATCAGGTAATTTTTGTGTGGTTATTTTCATCTGTGTGATTTACTTGTGAATAATAGTATTTTACCTTAAATGGTTTAAAATTATTTTAAACAATTTTGCTGTGTTCTTTAAACTTAGTTTCTCTTTTTTCTTGTGCTAGGACTTAACCTCCAGTGGACAAAGCACCAGCAGCTCATCGGCTCTTTCCACCCCACCTCCTGCTGGGCAGAGTCCGGCTCAACAAGGCTCAGGAGTGAGTGGAGTTCAGCAGGTCAATGGTGTGACAGTGGGGGCACTAGCTAGTGGAATGCAGCCTGTAACTTCCACCATTCCTGCCGTGTCTGCAGTGGGTGGAATAATTGGAGCTTTGCCAGGTAACCAACTGGCAATTAATGGCATTGTAGGAGCTTTAAATGGGGTTATGCAGACTCCTGTCACAATATCCCAGAACCCTACCCCTCTCACTCACACAACTGTACCACCTAATGCAACACATCCAATGCCAGCTACACTGACTAACAGGTAAGAAACTTAAGTTGTTTTGGGTTTTTTAGTATAACATTACCAGTGTTGTCTGTGCCTTAGATTGGGGCTTTCAATATGTTCCTTTGTAAATATACCCTAAGAAAAGAAGTCTGCCAAAAATTTTAAGTACACTATACACAGAGTACATTTATTTTTGAAACTTAATTTAGATAAAAATGAAATTAAGTCACTTATAGTAACAGTATTAAATATATTATGTGCTGACAGTCTTAATCTGTGATGTCTACTTTTAAATACTAGTTTTTCTTGTATCGTAAATTCTAAAGATAATATTATAGTGGAGATAACATGAATATTAATTTCTTGAAATATATTTAATATTTTTAATGTTTTAATCAAAGATTTTGATATAGGATAAAGGCCAATTATCTGATTTCCCAGGAAGTGAGACTCACTGGTTTCATTGTACTGATATTGCATTTGAATGTCTGTTCAATACTAGGGAACTAAAGCTATGTATGTTATTAAACATACTTTTGGGGAATAAATACTTTAAAATAGATTTGCAGTCAGTACTAGAAAGCTATTTCCTCTAGGTCTCTACTTACCACTGGGACCATTAGAAAAGGAAAGGTCAAATCAGTAGTATGTCTGGATTCTTTGTTTCAAATATGTATTTACTAAGTGTGGGTTAAATTATTCTTGAATAATTGTTACATATGCTTGTTAGAAACACATGTAAATTTCTATGGTTAGGGCCTATTTGTTTTATAATAAAAAGAAAACACATTTCTTGGTAATGTAAGTTCTTGTTTAGCTGTACACATGCATATATACAGAAATAATTTGTACATAATTTTTTTCAAAAGACGTTTGGATTAAAAATTTCACTTCAGTTATTAAACAAAAAATTGAAAAGTTGTCTTTCATTTTTAAACTTCTAAAAAAGCATTAGAGGTATGTAGTAAAAAGTAAGAATTCTAATCATTTTTCAGTGCCTCAGGACTAGGATTACTTTCTGACCAGCAAAGACAAATATTTATTCATCAACAGCAGTTTCAGCAGTTGTTAAATTCTCAACAGCTCACACCAGTAAGTTCTTTCTTTTGATAACATTTTATTAGGAGCAAGTGTTCTAAGCTATAATATTCAGGGTGGGTATAGATTTCTTTGTGAAGTAACATTATTGAATGTATAATCCAAAAAGTTTTTGCCATGTGGTGCCGGCTGTGATACTTGCAGTGATGTCGTGTGCACTCCTGAACTTCAAAGTGACAGGGCATGTGGCATGGTGCTGTCGTAGGTGGGTTCTGGTAAGACAGTGCTGAGTGACATGTGGTGTGCGTTTTCCCAGAGCTGCATTTTGATACAGGAGATGGATGGACATAATGCATGCTTTTTGGTTGTGATAAATGCTGAGAAGAAAAAGGAAGTGGATGGAGTAAGTGGGGAAGAGTGTGGGGAGCCGAGGACCATTTTAGATAAAATGGCCCCGCCTCTGCAAGGGGTGACTTTTGAGCATAGACCAACATGAGAGCTCAGGGAGGGTGTCTTTGTGGCTTGAGGGAGCATGGAGAGAAAGCACATTGGAGGTAGAAGGGCAGCAGCAGTATGGTCACAGAGGGTAGGAGAGGTCAGAGCCAACGGGTGGTCCTAGATGATCAAGTACAGCCTTTCTTGGTTGTGGCAAGGTATGATGGAAAGCCACTGGTGATTAAAAAAAAAAAAAAATCTATTATGGAAAATTTCAAGTGTACCAAAAGTAGAGTGGAGAGCACCCTGAAGACCTATGTATTTTCCTCATTCTCTCACCCAGCGCTAATAATGATCTCAGTTTTGTTAATCTCATTTCATTCTCCTTTTTTTTTTTTTCAGGATTAAGAATTAAGAATTAGAGGGTTTTGACAAAATAGTGAATCAGTGATTTACATTTTAAAGGATTAGCTTTGCTGCTATATAGAGAATAGTTTGTGTGTGTTGTTGCGGGTGGGGCAGTAAAGACAGAGGCAAAAGTGGAAAACAGGGAGGGAGTGGCTCAGGCAGGAGACTTAGGTGTTACAATAGTATGAGCTGTGTGTTGAAAACTGCCTGGGAGTGTGAGTCTGGGTGTGTGCATGTATTTTTGAGATAGACTTTTACTCGGTTGCCCAGGCAGGAATGCAGTGTGGCAATCTGGGCTCACTGCAACCTCCTCCTCCTGGGTTCTAGCGATTTCGCCTGCCTCAACCTCCCAAGTAGCTGGAACTATAGGCGTGTGCCACCATGCCTGGCTAATTTTGTATCTTTTTGTAGAGACAGGCTTTAACCATGTTGCCCAGGCTGGTCTTGAACTCCTGACCTCAAGTGATCTGCCCTCAGCCTCCCAAAGTGCTGGGATTACAAGTGTGAACCACTGTGCCCAGCCATTATGTTTTCAAGGTAGAACCAACAAGACTTGTTTGCAGGACGTAGAAGAGAAAGAATTCTGAATGGTTAGTGACTTTTTTTACTGAGATGTGGAAGAGCAGAACCCAACCAGTTTTGGAGAGAAAAATAGGTGTCATAGACACACTAAAGGTTGAAATCCCTTTAGATGCACAAGTGAAATGGAGATGAGACAGTTGCTTAATAGGTATCTGGAGTCCCAGGTAAGGGTGCAGTTAGAGAGATCTGGGGTTAGTGCTGCACAGATGCCGAGAGCCAAAAGATGCGATGTGGACTCCTAGAGCATGAAGACTGAGTCCTGGACACCCTAGAAAAGGAGAGTAAGCCCGTACAGGATATTGAGAAACAGTGGCCAGTAAGAGAATAAGAGAATGGCATCTTAGGGGCCAGGTGAAGGAAATGTTTCCAGAAAAGGGAGGAGTCAACTATGTAAAATGCATCTGTGGTAGGATAAAAAAGAATGGACCAACCAGGTGTGGTGTTGTGTGCCTGTGGTTCCAGTTAATTGGGAGGCAGAGGTGGGAGGATCACTGGAGCCCAGGAGGTTGAGGCTGTAGGGAGCCATAATCATGCCACTGCACTCCAGCCTGGGCGACAAGGACCTTTTTTTTTTTTCCTTAAAAGACAGTCTTGCTCTGTTGCCAGAGCAATTCTCCTGCCTCAGCCTCCCAAGTAGCTGAGATTACAGGCATGTGCCACCACACCCAGCTAATTTTTGTGTGTGTGTGTGTGTGTGTGTGTTTTTTTTTTTTTTAAGTAGAGATGGGGTTTCACCATGTTGGCCAGGATGATTTCAATCTCCTGACCTCTTGATTGCCTGCCTTGGCCTCCCAAAGTGCTGGCATTACAGGTGTGAGCCACCGTGCCTGGCCAGGACCCTGTCTCTTAAAGGTTGTATAGAGGCTTTTTATACTTTTGGTGTGATAAATGTAAAAACCTCACTAAATGGTTTAAAAGAAAATGAGAGGGAGAGGTAGTGAAGACAGCATATGAGCACCCAAGACAGCACTTTGGAAAGCAGAGAAAGGGAAAGGAGGAGGCAGATGGGGTAGTCTCGACTCACTATTTTGAATGTGAGAGCATGTGTATATGTTGATGGGGCACTTCTGGTATAGGACAAAGAAAGGTGCTAGCAGAGGAGGAGATAAGAACAGCATTTCATGGCACCAGCAGGGCAGGCAGAGCAACCGAGGTGGGTTTTATGTGGAGGGCTGAAACAATCCCGCTTTTAGTGCTTCTCATTTTCTTAATTAGAAGTAAAGTGATCAGCAGAGGGAGATGGGGGTTAATTGTTAGATCAGAGAGGAGATGGGAAATAGAGAACTTGGAGAAGGGGAGAAAGCATGGACCAAGACCCAAGTGGGGTTGTGGCTCAGGTGAGGGCAGTCCTGGCCCCCGGCTAGAGTCATGGGGCTTTCTCCAGACCCATTTCCCTAGCACTCTACATGTACTTGGGCTGCTTGGAGAAGGCATTGCTCAATTAACACAGGATGTCAGCCTTTGTAATTTCTTTCTAAACATATATGTATGTTTTAAAGATGGGGTTTCTCCATGTTGGTCAGGCTGGTCTCGAACTCCCGACCTCAGGTGATCCACCCGCCTCGGCCTCCCAAAGTGCTGGAATTACAGGCTTTGTACTTCCACCGCGCCCAGCCTCTAAATATATTTATGTACTTTTTTGCTCTAGTAAACTAAAACATATTGGAAATACTTTTGATTCTCGATCATTTTCAGTCTGTTTTTATAGTGGTGTTAAAGGCACATTGCATGTAAGAATATATAAACTCTTAAATGCTGACATTAAGATGGAATCTTGTTTTTCTTATCTCTTGCCTCATCTTGAGTACTAAAACTCCATTTATTTGGGGTCTTCGTGTTATCAAGATTTCACTCTAATAATAGCACATGTAGATGTCTCATTTCTATAACATGGTTGATTAAGGAATTTTCAGCACAGATTATTGGTTGGAGACCATGAGGACTAAAGGGGTTTAAACGGTACCTTTTTCTTCATCCGCCAGTGTTGTGGAGTGGTTTGTTCATTTGCAGGCATCAAACTTGATGTAGGTGAGAATTTGTTGGAAGCCTCCGCACAGCTTCCACCTCATACTCTTGCTTGACCCTGGTTCCCTCCATGACCTGGGTGGTGCCAAATCCAGTGGGCAGTTTTCATTCTTCATCTTAGTGACCTGGCGACAGCATTTGAGAGAGTTGATCACTTTTCCGCCTCCTTGAAACACTTCCTCCTCTCAGCTTCCAGGATACTACATTATCTTGGTGTTTTCCTACCCAACTGGTCATTCATTTTTAGCATCCTTTCCTGGGTCCTCCTCTTCAGCAATCTCCTCCCATCATTGTCTGTAAATAGCATCTCTGTGCTGATATTTACATCTCTAGCCAGACCTCTCTCTGGAGCTTCAAGCTCCTGTAATCCAGCTGCTCACTGTAGCTCCACTGGCATATCTTAAAAGACATTTCAAACATAACATGTTCAAAACAGCTGATCTTCCTGTACAACCCTGTCCCACCCATCTTTTTCCTCACCTCAGCTGATGGCAACTCCATTCTGACTCTGACGACTCACATTGACTGTATGCTGGAATCAGATTGTGCCACTTTTCAAAACCTTGTGCTCAAAACCTACTGGCTTCTTATTTTACTATGAGTACAAGCCAAGGTGCCCATTGCCTTCTCACAGTGAGCTCTGTGTTCTTCTCAGTTCCTCCTGGCTCCCCCTCCACTCTCCCTGGGTCCTTGCTGCTACTGGAGCCTGCTAGGCTTGCCCTTCTGGAGGCCCTTGGCACTGTCTGGAAATCCTTACCCGCCCCCATATTCACCCAGCTAATTCCCTCATCTCCCCCAGATCTTCATCCAGATGTTAACTTTGTAATGAAAACTGCCTTGACTAATCTGCTTAAAATTACAACCTGACCAACTCCACCCAACCCTTCCAGACATTCTCATACACAGTTCTATTTCCCTTGATGCATAGCAGTAATCACAATCTAACATTTTCATTTATTTGTCTTTCCCTGCTCCATGTGTTTCAAGCACCAGAAGCAGTGCCTGACACCTAGTAAGCACTTAGGAAATCTATAAATATATGCTGCGTGGAGTGTATGCTTGCTGTAAAGGGTGGTCCGAAACTGCATCAAGAAAGCACCCTAATGACAGGCAGGAAGGGAAACTTTAAAGTTGTTTTAAGTTTGGAAGGGGTATGACCATACGTAATACTTTCAAACATCCACCTTAATTTCTCTAAGCTGCTGCACTCCTGGATTTATCACGGATAACCTAATAGAGGTCTCATATATTGTGTGTCCTGTTTTAAAAATAAGCTGTTCACTCAAGATATGGACATTTTATAGTAGGTGGTTACTATCTAGTGCAGCATATTTTTCTAGATGAGATACTTGTTTTCATTCTTAGCAAATACCTAATATTAAAGGAAAGAAAACAGATAAGGCAGGCTCATCTGCCTGCTGAATTCTTTGCTTGGAAACTCACTTTCTCTCACATGTTTTTGCCTAAGGAACAACATCAAGCCTTTTTGTATCAGTTAATGCAACATCACCACCAGCAGCAGCACCACCAACCTGAACTTCAGCAGCTGCAGATCCCTGGACCAACGCAAATACCCATAAACAACCTTCTTGCAGGTACACAGGCACCCCCACTTCACACAGCTACCACCAACCCATTTCTCACCATGCATGGAGATAATGCAAGTCAGAAAGTAGCAGTAAGTATGTTTTCCTTGTTACATCTAATGCAATAAGAACTGTATCGATTAATCAGGATGATCATTTTCCAGCCTAGTTTTGTTATTCCCCTGATCATTTCTTCTTAAAATAGTTGTTTTTAGCAGGTGGATATTACAGGCAAAGGACCTAAGCCAATTTATACGTCTCCTAAATATGTCGGTTTGAATTTGCACATTGTTTGAAGGCTGTTTTATAATTCAGCAATTTTCAAGATAACATATTTTAGTTAGCAAGTCATATGAGACAGTCCAATCAAAAGACAATAGTTTCGTGCTTTATGAGAAACTGTTTAGTTATAGAACCAGTCTATATAAATTGGAAATACTTGTTTTACTCCAAAGTGGTTTTTACACATTAAGTATATTAGAAGATTAGTCTATACATTTTAGGGCAAGCAATCCAATTATTCTACCAGATTATTGTTTTAGAGAAAGTAAATCACAATCACATTTGTAATGGAATACAAATTTTAAGTTATTAATCTCATGTAAGTGGTGGCATCTTACTCTTTCGATGTGAAAGTTAAATCAAAAATGGATGCAGGAGCAGTATACTACACATACAGTAGAACCCATTTTAAGGCTGTTTCTTTCTATTAATTCTCCCCTTCAATTAGGTCTACTTTACTGGAGTATAAATGTTTCCCCTAAATTCCAGTTCAGGGCAGAACCCTGTTAGAGGAGGCTATGGGGATGTAGAATGGAGACTGGACATCAGGAAAAGGAAGAAGGGAGAGACTGAGGTGGGAGACTTGGCAAATGAGTGCTCAAAGTTGCAGTGTTTGCTCTTTCCCGTTACTTGGAAATCAGTTTTGTTTACTGTGCTTTTAGTCTTCAGAAACTTTAGTTTGTACTTAGAAACGAGAATTATTCAAAGTAGAGTATTGTTTTTCATGAGCTCAGTGTTCTGTTTGCCCTTTTGTTTTGCCAGCTTACTGTCATCACACATCACATTACTTCTTGGTGCCGTGGGCAATTTGCAGTGATTCTGTAGAGATTTTTGGTGCTATTGCCTCTCCCACCCCATTTTAAGTTTTTTTTCCTGTGTTAAAAAATGCACTAATTACAAACTTTTCCCAAATTATAGAGTATGAAATGTATTTAATGGAAAATCACAGCAGTTTAATGAGCTAATAGAGGAGCACGGGGCTGGGAGGTGCTGTTTGCTGAGTACCCTGCTATGTGCCAGGTGTCATTGTTAGATACAGTGACATCTGTGATATCAAGCTTTAATAGGCTGTAACCCCTGTCTCTCTCTTTTTTTAATAGATTAATGAAAGGAAATGCAAAGAGTTTTAAGCCCAAGGACAAATAGCAAATGTGGAGTTACAGCCCATGACTTTCTTAGCCCATAAAAAATTCATTCTCTACAGCACCATGTTACTGCTTCTGTGGAAAAGTTGATTTTGGAAGACGAATTGTGCATTCATTCTTTAGAATTTCTGTCCCTCAGATGGGCCTACCTCTTTGGTCTTTTTATACCGTTGAATCTAGTGTTTTTAGAGCATTTACTAGCAAATTCATGTCTACATATTATATTGCAAATAGCCATGCCAACTTGCAAGAAAAAAGGGAGTAACTTCTATACGACATTTTATCTCAGTCAGTTACCCAGTTACCATTTCAAATTGGGAGGATATTACCAAAAGTTGATGTAGCTAACTTGTCTGCTCTTTTGTTTAACTGCAGAGACTTAGTGATAAAACTGGGCCTGTAGCTCAAGAGAAAAGTTGACACCTGTGAAACATCTAGAAATTACTATCCTGCTGTTCTAGCACTTCATCTGGCTGCCTTTGCAGTCCTTTTACTACAGCTATGAAGAAAATGCAACAAGAAACTCAATGCACAAAGGATTAATTGCCACAAGGACATTCTTGTCAGGCTTTGATTAGTTTTCTTGTTGCTTTGTTGCACTGAAATGGAATTCCCATACCCCTATCCCTTACCCCAATTTTTTGAACATGGAAAGAAAATTTAATAACTTTTTTCAGTGACATAATTTACATGCAATGTTTATCGACTCAAGAATTTAATATAGTTGGTGCACAACTAGTTTTGTTATAAATTGGAGATACGAATAGCAAAACTAAAGACTTGTTCCATTTACAAACTACTTGATTTTGTTGTACCAGTTGAAATACCCTCTTGTTTGGGTCGCAGTGTGCTTGCTCCCAGTCAGATTTCCAGGAACTGTCTAATCCCTTCTCCTGGAGTTTCACTGACTCAGTATTACAAATATATAGCTCATCACCTGGGACTTGGCAATCTTTGTTAAAATTTCCTTTCTAATGGGATTTGGCCACTTTTGGTAGTCAAGTTAGGATGGTAATGTCTGCATCTGCTAAAGGTGGTTTTGAGAATTGCTTTTTTAGTGTTAAGGCCTGTTCATATTAAAGAAACCTTGAGTTAAGTGAGTTTTAAGGCTGCTGGGGGAACCAGATCAATTCAAAGCGAAATAATTCTTTCAGAAAGGGGCCACTCTGGAAAGTGCTGATGGGGTTTGCCCTTGATCAAGTGCCTCCATTGTGCTGCAAGGGCTCTGGACAGTAGGCTCGGACAGTCCGTCCTCCGAGCAGCAGGAATCATCCCGTCACACCCGCAGCCTTCCCATGCTTCCGCCTTGATTCAGAATTTTCTGTGCCACTGTAGATAGCTCAGGCAAAACTATTACCTGGGTATTTGTCCACTAATGAGTCACAAGAAAAGGAGTGGATATGGTAAGAATAGAGATTTATTTAAACCACTCCCCATTACTGACCATTAAAACAAAAGCTCACCACGAGTTCCTGAAACAGGTGAAACCTGTGTGACAGCCCTTCCACTTTGGGGAGCCACGCTTTTGATGTGACAGTATGGCAGAGTAATCCACCACTGGGGGTGTAATCACCCAACTGTTCTTCAGTGTGTGAATTATTAGTGGAAAAGACCCAGCTGTAATTAGACCTCCACTGTGTACTTAGCTGGAAGAACATGTTAATTCTGCAATATGTCTCTTGGTTAAACATTGCACAGTTCTTACCTCATTTCTGTAAATAAAGTTTTGTGAATCTGTTTTGTATTGTGAAAAATTCATAAGATAACATTGATATTTTGATTTGTAATATTTCTAATTGGTAGATTTAATTGAAAAGTAAAATTAATTTATTTTTATATGTTCAGGGGAATTTTAAAGTCAAATCTTTTGTAGATAATTAAAAAAATCAGTGTGGTTTATTTTACTTATTTAACCCACTGGTTGTTATTCTGTAACAATTTGTATAAATGGTAAATTTTGAATGTGTTGTTATTTTACCTAGATGTAAAATTCCACATGTATTAAAATGTACAAAGTTTTGTTAATAAAATTTAATAATGTTTGTTTATAACTCCGTGCCATTCTTGTTTGGAGAGGATGGAGGGGCTGCACCCACGTTGCTTCCTCAGGGAGTCTTGGGTTGTGTTTTGGTATATTGCCCAGAGTGAATGGAAACTTCTCATAAGCAAATGCTATACAGTGTGCGGAGCATTCAGTTAGCTTGCTTTAACTAGAGGCATTCCATGAAAGAGAAGCCAAATCCATTTAGTGGTCCTTGGGTCTTGGTAAGTGTCAGAATTGCCTGTGGTACTTTCCAAAAATATAAATGCTCAGACTTTTTCGCCAGACTTAATTGAATCAGAACATACTGATCTGTGTCAAGTGCTCTTGGTAATTTAGAAGTAAGTTAACAAGAAAAACTGGTCCTAGGCTATAAACTTTATTAATAGAGTGAGTTTTAGGTTCCTGGAGAGATTTTTTTAATGTACATGAAAAATAATCATGATTCTAGAAAGTCATCTCTCCCCCAAGGGGCGAGGGATTACCATCCCTCTACAATGACAGGTGACTCATCTATCAACTACTCTGAGTTTAATTTTTTAACATGTGTCCTTGGCTGGTGTTTGTAAGCATCTGCTTCTGTAGCTCTCTGGCTTCCTGGAGGCTCCCGGACCTCGTCAGCCTGGGTTGCTTCCCTGCAGGGCCCTGGCACCTGCTGGTTCACATGTGCACCTTGTGCTCTGGGAAAGGCTCTGAAGAACTGATGCCCTGCTAGTGGTCCTGAGCCTTGAAGGAGGTCAGTATTGGCTGGTTGCGGTCTGTGCTTCTGTGCTTTAGACTTTTGGATGTCCAGTCCATGTTGTGGGTCAAGATCAAGCACTGGGCCAAGACAGAAAAGCCAAGTCTTCCTCAGCTGTCAACCAAGCAGAAGGGAAAGATGATCCCATAATCTTCCCAATAGGCAGGAGAGGCCCTTGGAATTGCAAGGGAGGTACCACCTTACAAGGAAATGTAACGTTGCTTTCTTCAGTGGATTTCCTTAGGTTTTAAGCGATGGTTTCACTCTGTAGCCCAGGCTAGAGTTCAGTGGCAACATCATGGCTCACTGCAGCCTCAAACTCCTGGGTTCAAGCAATCCTCGTGCCTCAGCCTCCTGAGTAGCTGGTGCTACAGTTAAGAGTAATGTGCCTGGCTGTCTGGGTCACGTCCTGAATAGGAATCTCTGGGAGACAAACACTGTTCTTTTTAGTTTTACTTAATGAAAATAAAACACACCAGTGACACCATCTTTTCATATAAACTAGGCCTTTCAAAATGAAATAGTTGTGAACTTTTATAAATATTTGGAAATCATTTGTAAAATGTTTACTTTGTTAAAATTCATGTCAATTGTTTTTCCATTCCTCAACCTGTTATTTGCAACAAAAGAAATGTCTTTTTCACACCAATCACTAATTTTTGTAATTCAGTAAAGATTTATGTGAAAATGTGGGTTTTGTTTGACTGTGACTTAGGTCACAGTTCAGGTTTGGCAGGTCTTAAGGGACAGATTCCCCATTGAGGTAAAGCAATGGGGGCACACATGTCCCTTCCAGCCACCTCAGACGTGTCAGCCTCACATTCCCCTCAGGGTCTGGAGGTCCACAGTCACGTGGCTGTAAACAACATGCCCCTTTTCCAAGTGTGTGATTCCCATCCACCTCAGGGCACTGGTGACAGACATTTTAGGTGTTAGCATTAACCTATTTAACTTATAAAAGTCATCATGACCACTTAAGAAATTTGAAATTAGGGAAAAAAAAAAAAGGGCCCATCACTTTTTTTTTTTTTTTTCTTTTTTTTGAGATGGAGTCTCACTCTGTTGCCCAGTCTGGAGTGCAATGGCATGATCTCGGCTCACTGCAACCTGTACCTTCTAAATTTTTAACAGATTCTCCTGTCAGCTTCTCAAGTAGCTGACATTACAGTTGCCCACCACCACATCCGGCTAATTTTTGTATTTTTTTTCTTTTTTCTTTTTTTTTTAGTAGAGATGGAGCCTGGTCTCAAACTTCTGAACTTACCGCCCACCTCGGCTTCTCAAAGTGCTGGGATTACAGGCATTAGCCACTGTGCCTGGCCTTTCACTTTTTGTAAAATATACACATATAATTTTAATATTCTTTTCGTATACAGTCGGATATACAAATTTGTGGTCTGCTTTTGTCACTTAAGTGACAGGAAAGATGTTAGAGATCAAATTTTGTATTTATTAATCATTTTCTGGTTCAGATGGGCAATGTGCCACTGGCGTGGGTGTCATAGCAAGAGCTATGTGAATGTTCCCTTGTCTTTCAGGGAAAGGGGTTCTCTAGGGATTGGGGGAGTAGTGGCAGCATAAAGGGCAGGGTTGGGAAGGACCAGTGCTGGTCACAGGGGTCAGGTGGGCACAGGAAGTGAGGCTGGAAGAGGGCTGTGGGTTTGCAAGAAAGAGGTGATTGGTGCTGTTCGGCAGTGTGGTTTCTGTAGTTCTGTGGCCACAAAAGGCAGGTTGTAAATGCATATTAAGGCAGCGGGCAGCATGGACAGCACAGTGAGACACCCTCTCTACAAAATAAAGCTCAGCATGGGGGCATGCCCCTATAGTCCAAGCTCCTCAGGAGGCCTAGGTGGGAGAATCGCGTAAGTCCAGGAGGTAACAGCGACAGTGATCATGCCACCACACTCCAGCCTGGGTGGGAGACCCCATCTCTTAATGTGGGGATAGATAGCAAGGTGCAGAGTGGGTAAATTCAGGGGAAAGACAGTTGGACAAAGGTGGAAGGATGTGGATATCGGGAGACAAGTACATTATTTCTAGATTTGGGTCCAAATATCCTAGATGAGCTCACTGCCTCTTCTCTGGCCTGCTCTTTGCTGGAAACCCCATGAGGTTGAATTTTCAGATTTTGCTTATAACTCTTGGCACATCTGGTTTCCTTCAGGTAGACCCAGAGCTAGGCCTTTGGTTGGCGAGAACCTCAGTGCCCCACCCTCCACCCTTGTCTCCTTTTAGATGGGAGAGCCTGTCCTTCAAGTGTGGGCAGTTGGCAGAGGGTGTTCCCTAGGGTGCTGAGCCAGGCATCATGTCAAGCACTTTACCTGCCTTACCTCACGTCAGCTTTACACAACCCTGTGAGGGCTGCTTTGTTTCCTCTTTAATTTTGCAAATTAGGAAGTTGAGGCTTACAGAGGAGGGTACAGAGTCACACAGCTGCCAATATATGAATTGGTACAATTAAGAATGATCTGAGGCAGGTAACGAGGCAGCACCCCATAATAATCTTAGAGCCGCTCCCGACTCCAAGTTCACTAGGGAGTGGCGGAGGCTGGGACACCTCGTCAAGAGCGAGGCCTTTCAGGGTGTGGGTTTAGCCTGTCCACCAAGCACTGGCTCCCAGCACAATTCCACCCCTTGCTGTGCACCCCAGCAAAACCCAGCCTCGCTGCTCTCGAACATGCCATGGCCCTGACACCCCTGTGCCTTTCCCCGGCATCACAGTAACTAAAATCAGAGAGGCCTTAACATGGCTATGGCTAGAGTTTGAGATGTCCCTGGCTGTGCGTTCATTCGTAGTCTTTCCAAGGGGTGTTGGGGTGTGCGAGCCTTAGCCCAGGTACAGACTGGAAAGGCCCTAGGGAAGAAACGAGAGACCCCTCAGTGGACCTGTGAATTAAACTGGTTTGAAAAATTCAGGTGAGATTATGTGAGAGGACTGGAGAAGACAGACAAGTTGGAGTCCCCCACGGATAGTGACTACGGAGTAGGCCAGGCCAGAAAAAGCTGGGGATGTTTCAACCCCCGGAGGCTTTTAGGGGAAAGGAATTTGCCTTCTCTAAGGCCCTGGCTCCAGGTAAGCTGCTTTCTCAATGCCCTTGGAGGCACTTGCACTGTCCAGCTTGCTGGAGAGGAGGCCACACAGGCAGGCTTCCACGCTTCTGCTCTGGCTCTTTTGGACATCAGGGACGCACCATAGCTCCCTGGACAGAGTGGAGGATTCTGCTGGGGTTTTGCACAGAATCTGGCTCTGGAACTGGAAGGCTGACCCTCACCAGACTCCAACAGAGGGGGGCAGTTGAAGTCACTGGGGTGGGAGAAGGGTGGAGACAAGAAGGAAGACTGAGGACTTTGGGGACACCAAGACTAACAGCGAAAGATGAAACATCTGGAGAGGAATCTGAGGAGAAGCCAGGGGAACTTCACCTCCATTTCACCCCAGAATGTGAGGCTATACGTAGTTGGAAGATGGCACACACCACCTTTGGCATCAAAGGGTTAAGGTCAAGCCTGAAAACACTTCTTGGACATGGTACTTAGGTATTTGGTGATATGAACAGGAGGGGCTTTGGTGGCCGGAAGACAGGTGCAGGAGTCAGATGACAAGTGGCTGAAGGGTAGGGAAAAAGTCACCAAGGGGACACAGTGTCTAAGGCTCCCCAACATGTGCCATTAAATACTTGATTGTATAATGAGGTTGTAGCAAACCAGTCCCTCGGTTCAGCTTGCTTTAATAAACTGCCATCATTTGGCCGGGTGTGGAGGTGCATCTCTGTAATCTCAGCACTTTGGGAGGCCAAGGAGGGAGGCTCACTTGAGGTCAAGAGTTCAAGGCTGCTGCTATGATCACTCTACTGCACCCCAGCCTGGGTAAGACCCAGACCCTGTCTCCAATAGTTTTCTTTTTTTTTTAATGCTATAGTCTGTGTGGCCTATATACAACAAATGTTATTTCCCCTGGTCAGTGAGGCTCTGTTCCAGAGGCAGAAGGATGACTTCCCTTTGTGTTCTCACATGGAAGGAGGCACCTCCCTGGCCTCCCCTTCCTGGGGACTCCACTCTCCTGACCTAATCACCTCCAAAGGCCCCACCTTCTGATCGCATCTTCTTCCAGGTTAGGGTCTCAACACAGTCCATTGCAACCAATGAAAAAAGAAGTTACCTCCTGATTTGCAGCAGTAAATTCGACAGCACGTTAATTTTGGTAGTACCTTCCAAAGCTTAAAATTAAAGCATGAAATTTTGTGATCAGGTTTATTTGTTTTC